AATATAGAAATAATATAAAATTATAATATATAAAAATAGCTATTTGAACTAATTTAAGCAAATTTGAGATTAGTTAGGGTTAGGGTAAGAGTTATTGTATAATTTATAGTTAGATTAGGGTTAGGGTTGTAGTTTTTTTATATTATAATTTTATAATATTTCTATATTGCCCACCTATACTAAAGAAGATTCAACTTATCTATCCCATCATTAATATATACTCAGGTATATTTGGATACTTAGGATAGTCTTTTTCAAAAATATTATATAAAATAATAGAAAAAGACCACCCTTTTGTAGATATATATCTGGATATAGTAGATGATGATATGTATTCGGGTATATATCCAGCCATATATGGTATAAAGGCTTCTTTAGAATTATTATATAAAATATTGGGAGAAGCCTTCATATGAATTTGATAAGCAAATAGAGAAAGTAAAGTACCCAGGTATATATTTTGAGATAGAATAACTTCAGAGTCATTATATAAAATATTAAAAGAAGCTTCTATCTCAAAGTATGTAATCGAACATGGCGTAAATGGGTTGGCTATAGTAATACAAATCACCTCTGACCTTAGACATGAAACTAGCATATATATACTGGCAACAAATAGGCAATAGTTGGGTTGCAAGATATCGCACTTTTTGGTAATCAAATGAACTAGCTATAGTGCTGGTCAAATTTAAATGTAGATTTTACTATAAATTTACTGTACCACCTATTACCTTTTTTTACACCATTTCGGTATCTAGAAAGGTAACTAAACAGGCACAAAAAGGTAAGTACCTCAATATAGAATTTGGCATCCAAACAAATACAAAAAGCTAATAACCTCAATATAAAACCAGACATTCAAACGGATATAGAAGATTAGTACTATCGATAAGATTTAATATGCAAATGGATATAGAAGCATGTAAACAGAAAGATTTTTCCTTAATGTTTTTTTTTTTTTTTTTTTTTATTAATATAATGCCATAGTAGAAACTTTATTACAAAAAACCTAAATTAATCTAA